GAAAGATAAGAATATGAGGGATATAGAAGAGAGAGCTAAGGACAAGGGATATCTTGCGCGCAAAAAGGAAAAAGACATGACGCTGGTTGTGATTCTTTCTTGGTTTGCCTCTGCGGCTGTCTGTTTGTATTGTTGATTTTTTTCCCCTCCATCGAAATGTATGAGATGACCTTTTAGACCTAGACATGGGATACGGACTAGAGGGGGGCTGTTATAGCCAAGGCAAAAAGAAAAAAGAGGAATTTCGTTTGGAGGAGGAGCCTTGGAGGACTTTTTGATTTCGAAGAGAGAGGTGGTGTTTTGATGGGCAGATGTATAGCGATACCTAGTTTTCAACGCAACATAAAAGTGTTTTTGACCCTGCTTTCGACACATTAGCCAATTGCCATTTACAACAAACGAATCAACAAGGGGTTCACATACATACCTAGGTGGGCATATCTCTCTCTTACTCTTGCTTCTCGATCGGAGGTATTGATGAGCGGACGAGATTTGCGTGTCCGCTCCAGATGTGCGCCCAGGGAGCGTCTTCCTGCGGCTCATAAGGGGCAACCTCAGCTCCCTCGGGACTCGTCATGGCATTGACCAGCCAGGCAATGTAGTGTTCGAAGCCCGTCGTGCTGCCGCTGAAGTAGACGTTGTTGACGCCTCGCACGGCGTCAAACACGGCCAGGTTGTTGGAGTCGACGCCCAGGAACATGGACTGGACGAGGTCGATGGAGAGCTCGTCCAGCCCGGAGAAGGACTCTGCGACGGCCTTGCGGTCGTACGGCAGGGGCAGGTCGAGGCGGACCTGGACGTGGAAGCGGTGGATAAGGGGCACGAGAGTCTTGGCCTCTCGCATGGGAGGGTACCAGTTGCGTAGACGGGGGAATGTGGCGAGCAGGGTTGGGTGGGCGACGAACATGTTTGACGAGTAGAGGAAGGGGGTGGCCTCCCAGTTGATCTGGCGGTTGGCGAGGAGGATGGCGGGATAGACGTGGTCGGGGGGTTGGGCGTAGGAGGAGAGGTGGTGGTGGGAGGAGGACTTTGGATGAGGCGGGATGGAGAGGAGGAGGTCGTAGATTTGGAAGCGGAGCTCCAGGGGGAGGGACATGAAGCCGACTTTTGGTGTTGTTGATGATGGTGATGATGATGATGAGGGCATCTCTGCTGGTGTTGTTGGTGTGGTTGGGGCAGACATTTGGGAGCTGCGTTTTAATGATTCGACGTAGCTGAGGTAGCTCATTGTGTGTGTAAGTGGTGTATACGTGATGAGATGATGTAATTCAGGTTTGGTGGGACGAATATATCTGCTTGGCTGGTTGTTGTCAAGCGTGTATCAAACAGAGACGTGTATATATAAAGATGTAAGTGATTCTTCTGTGTATCAAGATGGATCTAAGCAACAAGAGTATATAACAACGGAGGGAGGCAATGCGTATTTAAATCACTTCCTCGCCAGAGCTCTCCCAGCAATAGAATAGACTCGAGTTAGCCCGTCCGTACATCGGAAACCCACAAATAATCATGAAATAAAACCGGCGTGTTCACACACCGTGAGCCTCACCACGTCGCAAAAATAAAGCCGAGGGAAAAGGGCAAAAGCCAAAAAAGGGAAATAAACCATGTCCACTATAATATCCGGGATGGCAGCGCCGGCTAGCCAATGGAAAAAAGAAAGAGAAAAAAACGCCCGAGCCAAGGAAAAGGCAACCATGTAAGAAAGGATGGGACGAATCAACGGTCGAGGGTTCAGCCCGTTTGATTGGAATTGGATGGAGACCAGGGACAAACGTCACCCGGCATTTGGAGGTTTTGAGAGAGAGGAACCCCGTCTGTCTCGGATCGGCCGTTTGGGAGCGGGACGCAGGTGTTGTCGGGTTGGGCTTAGTTGGTGGGAGTGGCGTTGTTTTTTTTTTGCTGTTTTTTTTTTGTTTGTGATGGGGTCTGTCTGGTCGAATGTTGTTTTACTTGGACGTTTGATGCGTTAGTGGCATGCGGCGGATGCTAGCCTGGCCCGATTCTGACGATGGAGAGGTGGCTAGGGTGATGCGACGATGGCTGATGTGGTGGGTGGGTGGCTAGGGGTGGTTGGTGGTGTGGTGTGTTTGAAGGGCTGTGTATATGGTTACGTCGTTGTGCTTGTAAGAGATGGATGTGATATGATTTGGTCTATATTGTTGCGTGTGTGAAAATGAATGAATGAGTTGTTGGTTGCCTAGTCGTGGGTGAATACAATCAATACCTTGCAATACAATGCGTGTGTCTAGTCGGGCGTGCCAGTGAGTGTTGTTTGCAAGTCACGTCTGCTGATGCCTTTTGGGCGCTCATCACTTGTGTCATGGATGTTTTTTTTCCCCGAACAACGGCGAATACCCGACGATGGGCATTGATAGGCGACATAGGGTTCGGACTGATCTGGGTACTGCTGACTTGGCTAGTCAGATGTGAAGAAGCTTAGCGAGACTCGTTGTCGTTCAATCTCATGTAAGCATCCTCAAGTGATGAACTTTAGTGATGGCGATGGATGTTAGTGATGACTCGGGGACCCAGCCAGCGTCCGCAAAGCAGATTGAAAGGGCAATCATTCCGGAGCTACCCAGTGCTAGATACTAGTTGATGCCTGTAGACAGATATAGTACTGTGCATGGGCTGAAGAGGTACGGTAGATTCTGCCTCATCAAAGTTGATTGACATCTTGGCAGCTGGAAAGCCACAGCCAGCCACTTTTCTCGCGATACTCCGTAGTCTCTCTACCTAGTAGTCTTTGATGCGCCAATCTCCAACTCACTCATCAGCCTTGGGCATTCATTCCTCCATCCCTCTTCCTTCAGCTGGCCTCCAAGCCACCCAAAACGGGCAGCATCCATCAAAAAGGGGATTCAAGAGCAAGCACTACTGCACCAGGACGACAGCTGAAATTGAGGCCTCATGCATTTCCGTGCCCTTATTCGTCAACTTAGTATAGCTGACCGCGCTTGTGCGCATCCGGGCGGACGATGATGAGAGCTCAATGCTTTGCCGGGATCTGACGGCCCCAACAAGCTTGAAGCCCTTGACGATTTGAAAAAAAAAAAAAAAAGCAAAAGAGTGGTCCGCTATATTTTTTTGGCCTTATTTTACCATCAAATCTTGCCATGGATCTGCGACAACCGTCGTCCGATCACGCCAAGCCTCACACCATTGCCACTCCCGCTGATAGCGAATATCTCGGAAACGGTGGACCGACAAGGAGACTCTGGCGGGAAAAACACGCGAGATACGCGGGCATGCATGCACATGCATGATGCTTGGCCTGGTCTGGCCTTGTTTTCAATGCCGAGGATAAAAAGGGGCTGTGGAATGTAACGCAACAGCAAAAAAGAACATCTTCTTTGTTCTTTTTTGTTTCTCTTAGTGAGTGTTTTATACTACTGTATCGACTCCGTGTGATCCGAGCTGTATCGAGTACAGGAATTTTGGCTGCTTACAAGGCCAAACACTACTTGTTACGAGGAGTTACTTGTACATACATTAGTACTCGTACATCCATGTTCCGTGCAGCAGGGCGTTTGATTGAATCCAGAACAAAGGAGAATTTTCTCGGTGATCCGATTCCGAGGACCATGTTCCGAAGACGATGTGCCCAGGGTGTTCGGATGGATGGGTGGCTGCTGCAAGTGACGGAATCAATTAAATGAATGAATGAATGAATGAATGACTCGACGAGTCTCGATATGGCGGTGACTACTAAACTACTAACTACTGGAGGTGGCTGACAAGTGCCGGCATCATGGCTCTGGTGGCAGTTCGAGTTCGGCTTTTCAGACAAATCTTTGCTCCGAACATGGGAGCTGGTGGCTGCTGATATCAACACGAGCTCCCTTTACTAGCTACCTAGTCCGACACCCTTTTTTCTTAAATTCCCGTCTGCTGTCGACTGCCGTCAGGATGGCCGTGTTACCGAGTTTAGATATGACCACTTCGTGTAAACGCCAATTATAGTCGACGGTGAAGTTATCGTGTGGACTATCTATTTACGGATACGCTGAGAATGGAAAAGGTAAAGCCGTAAGTGGTACGTTTGTTGAGCGTGTAGCAAACTATGACTATAATGTTCTAGTTTGTTGAATTGACCATTTCGGATCTCTGACATTAAGAGAAGTAATACCAGCTGAAGATTTCTTCAGTATTTCCAGACTCAAGCACCACCATGTTGACGTCACTCAGGGTACTAACAGGACAGAGCTCGCGTGTGGCAGATTGATTCGTTGACATTGAGTATATATAGTTTACATTGTACAAGCGCTTTCTATAAAGCCTCCCGTGATAATCCTACAATGTTCAACTGTTTTGCGACTCTTCTAGGTTAGGTTGGTCAAACCGTTTTACCTCTGCAGGTACCTTAGTCCAGCGACTTATACGAGGTACTTTCATTGGCTGTCTCGATACATTCATCTACACTGCATATATCCTGAAACACAAGTACCACTTTTCGAATGACAAGTACACTGCACCTGCGCACTTGGTCATCGAAGCTGGAAATGATGCAATCGCGTCTCTGCCCTCGCAAAATGTCATCGCAGCGCAGCGCATCGCATCGCAAACCAGGCGCACAACAAAGTACCGCTCCATACCCCTCAAGCTGCAATCGGTACCTCCATGTCGTTGAATCCTTAAGGCACCCAGCACGAGGCCACGGGACTTTTGTTATCCCTCCATAATAGGTAGATACTCGCACCTGATCTTCCACCTTCAACCCCTCGTCAAAGCAAAAACCAACAACAAGATCGAAATCCCGAATCCCATCCTCGAACAGCCTTCGTCGTCACACTCTTTTTTGACAACCCTCGAAAAATAACGCCGCTGCCGGACCGATCCGGGACGGTGGCTTGCATCAAACGTTCAGGTACTCCGGCGCCTCGATAACCTCCAGGCCCGAAAAGCCGTCATCGCAATCGGCAACACCGTTCGTTAGCCGTCAACAAAGCAACAAGGGCAAGGGGAAACAAGACAAGACAAGACAGACAAAATAAATCATGGCCGCATTCCTGCCCTTGCTGGCCTCCCTCTTTGGCTGGATCTACACGTTCGCCTGGAGCCTCTCCTTTTACCCCCAGCCGCTGCTCAACTGGCAGCGCCGCTCCACGTCCGGCACCACGGCCGACTTTCCCACCCTCAACATCATCGGTATGTTTTGTCCAAGATGCGCCCCTCGTCTCACACTATCGTATCCATCCATACTCCGTCGATGATCAGCTAACCTCGTCCTCTTCGTCCTCCAGGCTTCGCCGCGTATCTCGCTTCCAACGTCGCCTTGTACTACTCCCCTGTCGTGCGCAGCCAGTACGCCGCCCGCCACAACGGCCTGCTCCCCACCGTCGCCTTCAACGACATCACCTTTGCGCTGCACGCCCTCGTCCTCAGCATCATCACCGCCTCGCAGTACCTCCTCCGCCCGCTCTGGGGCTTCGAGCCCAGCGCCGGCACCCGCCCCAGCCGCTTCGTCAGCGGCATCATCGCCGGCTCCGCGCTGGGCCTCGTCGTCACCTGGATCATCGTGGGCGCCACGCCGTCTGGGGACCCGGCCGTCGACTGGTGCGAGCTGGACATTGCCTACGCCGTCGGCTACGTCAAGCTCTTGGTCACGCTGGTCAAGTACACGCCCCAGATCCTCGCAAACTACCGCAACAAGAGCACCCGCGGCTGGAGCATCTGGCAAATCATCCTCGATGTCGTCGGGGGCGTCTTGAGCTTGGCCCAGCTCGGCATCCATGGCTACCTGCAGCACGACTGGAGCGGCATTACGGGCAACCCCATCAAGCTGGCGCTTGGCAACTGCAGCTTGGTGTTTGACACCATCTTCATCTTCCAGCACTATGTCATTTATCGAAGCAAGGAGACCAGCGATGAGGAACAGAGACTTCTTCCAGACGAAGAGAGGAGGCACCATGACTAGATTTAGATCCAGGCCGCGCCGTTTTTTTTTTTTTTTTGATTGCAGACTTAGATTTTGTGTGGTGCTTTCATACACAGGGCGCCACCTAATACCCACTGAGCAAAAAAGAGTAAGAAGAGGCTGGCTTACCTACAGTAAATATGCCATGTCATACATATATATGTCCAATTGTCTATAAGATCTACGGAGTTGGGGTATCCCGTTCTATCGTGTCACGCACGCGCTGCTCTATATTACAAAGTTGATCACTTTTCCCCCGTCCACGGGAATCGTCCTCCTGGCCGACCGCACGTTGTATTTACTACCCTCGCCAAACCGGCTCATACCTTCCTCCGTCTCCAGGATCGCATCCACCAGCCAGTCGCGCAGCGCAGCGCCTTGCAAGTCGCTGGGCGGGCGCGGGATGGTCACCGTAGCGCGCAGCTTGCCGTTGATTTGCACGGCGCACTTGGTGTGCACCGCCTGGAGCATGGGCAAGCTGCCGTCTTGCACGGGGAAGCCGGCCGCCTTGAAGACGGAGCCGCTGGACGGGTGAAGAAGGCTCCAGCATTCCTCTGCAAAGGCGGGCGTGATGGGCGCCATGAGGCGCACAATGGCATCTGCCGTCTGCCTCCTGATGCCCTGGTCTGCGTGTTTCTGCTGGACAAGCTCGTTGGTGAGCGTCATGAGATCCGACACGACCGTGTTGAGCGCATAAATCTTGTCGTAGCCCCTCGTGATGGATTCAATCTTGTTCTGCGTCTCGCGCCAAAGCGCCGTCTCGGAATCCCACTTGGACAGCTTCTCCTTGTCGTTGCTCGGGGGAGGAGACCCTCGCGTGGCGAAGTATTCCTTTGCCGGCAGCGACTCCTCCGGCGACTTGGCGAGTGCCTCCACCTGGTCGTGGAGCTTCTGGAGCCAGCGAGTGACGCCGGTAATCTTGGACTCGTCCCAGTTGAGTACGTCGGCGACGGGCGCTTGGAAGAGCATGTGCGCGCGCGTTGGATCGACGCCGTATTTGGACGTGAACTCGGTGGGGTCTACTCCGTTGTGCTTCGACTTGGACATCTTCTCAAAGGCCACCGTGACAGGCTCTCCTGTGGCCACGACGAGAGGATTCAACGGATCCGCCAGGTCCACTTCGTCCGGTTTGAGGAACTTGCCCGACTTGGGGTCGATGTAAGTCCTGCCATGGACCATGCCCTGGGTAATGAGACGTTTGAACGGCTCGGCAGACGAGGCGTCCGCATCAGAGTACTGAGGAAGGAGTGGCGTAGTGGCCAGGAACTTGAAGATGAAGCGGGCATATAAAAGGTGAAGGATGGCATGCTCAACGCCCCCAATATAAATGTCCACAGGTAGAGTTTTGGCTGCCTCGGGGGAGAAGAGCTGGTTCGGATTTTGGGGATCGGCAAACCGAGCGTAATACCAGCTTGAATCGACAAAGGTGTCCATGGTATCGGTATCTCTCCGAGCCGGGCCGCTACATTTGGGGCACTCAGTCTCGACAAAGCCGGGTGCCGACTCCAGCGCGTTGCCCGCCTTGCCTTGTGCCCAGTGATTGTCCACCTCGGGAAGAAGAACGGGCAGCTGTTCGTCCGGTACGGGGACGGGGCCGCAAGAGTCGCAGTGAATGATGGGTATGGGAGCGCCCCAGTACCGCTGGCGACTGATGAGCCAATCCCTCAATCGCCATTTTGTGATGGGCTTCGCAAGGTCTGCGCCCTCAAGCATGCGGACCATCATATCGCCCGCTTCCTTGGAGTGCTTGCCATGATAGATGCCGCTGTGCTCTGTCATGTAACCGTGTTCAACGAATGGCTCGTTCTCCAAGACCGTGGTTGATTCGTCCTCGGACGCTGCCAGAACCATTCGAATGGGTTGATCGGTATTGTGCTCTCGCCAAAAGGCGTGATCCCGGGTGTCGTGGCCGGGCACGCCCATGACGGCCCCTTCACCGTAGTCGCCCAAGACATAGGAGGCCACATAGATGGGCAGCGATTCCTTGGTGGCATCCGGGGTCTTCTCGTGAAACGCTAGAGGGTTGACGCCTCGGATATGCGGCAGCAGATACCCGACTTTGGAGTCGGGGGGCAGTCCAGGGAGGGTGTCGAGGAACGCCTGTAGCTCCGGGTCGTGTTTGGCTAGCTGGGCCACCACGGGATGATTGGAGGCGAGGGCAAGGTACTGGACCCCAAACAAGGTGTCCGGCCGGGTCGTAAACACCTCAAGGGCGGTATCAATCTTGACCCTACCAAGAGCCATGAGGGGAAACTTGACCACAGCGCCGGTCGACTTTCCCAGCCAATTCCTCTGCTGGGAAATAACATGCTCTGGCCAGGCGCCGTCCTTGGCCAAGCTGTCAAGCTCCTTCAGGAGCTCCTCGCTAAACTCGGATATGCGAAAGAACCATTGCTTCAACTTTCGTTTCTCGACCTTGGCGCCCGATCTCCACGAGAATCCGTTTGCATCCACCTGTTCGTTTGCCAACACCGTCTTGTCCACGGGGTCGTAGTTGACCTCGGCCTCTGCTTGATATGCCAATCCGCGTTCGTGAAGCATCAAGAACAGCTTTTGCGTGTGTTTGTAGAAATCCGGGTCGCAAGTTGTCAATTCCTATGTATGGTTTCCTTTTAGCCCAATTCTACCTATACTGGCCGTAGCCGCAACTGAACAATGAAGTACCACTTACTCGTGACCAGTCCCAGCTGCCATTCATCACGTCAAGCTGGCTCTTCATTTTGGTGATGTTGCTTTCAGTCCACCCATCAGGTGGCACACCTCTCTCTAGGGCGGCATTCTCAGCGGGCAGGCCAAAGGCATCCCAGCCCATTGGCAGCAGCACTTTGTCGCCCTTGAGGGTGTGAAATCGAGCAACCACATCGGCAATGGTGTACACTCGGAGGTGGCCAAGATGGAGGCTGCCGCTCGGGTACGGGAACATGGGCAAGATGTAGCTATGCTTTTGGCCATCCGACAATGCGGCGGCATGAGGCTCGCCATGCGCAGAGTCCTGGTCCCAGACCTGGCGCCATTTCTTGTCCAGAGCAACAAGATCTACTGCGTACCATCTCCGGGCCAAACGTCGCGGGTCGTGTCGCGTGAGGGCAGATGGCCGATTTATCGCCCCATTAGCACCAGCTGCTATATACCGGCGGCAAGGGGCCAGGCCGGCTCCTCTGATGCTCATACGGCTGCCATGAAGCATATGCATTATGGTACGGTCATATTGCGGTGTCGAGATTCCCGCAACAGTCTTTGTGGTTGAGCAGAGACGAAGTGTGGAAGAAGAGAAGAGAATGTCGTGTCATAGACGGATGGTTCGATGTCGATATGAAATCGCCGGACTTTTTTTTTTCTGCACCAGCGGTTGTTATCGGAGCTCCCCAGTGCTTCTACACGGCCCTGTAGGGGATGCGTCATAGGGCTCCCCCAGTGCGATAGCGATAGCGACAACGGATGGACGCAACCCCGCCATTTCTGCTCCAGGGCTGCTTAATGGCAGCTGCCCCGCCACCTTTGCGGCATCGCAAAACTTTCTGCTTGTTTTTGTTGTTTGTCCCAAGCAGAGACTTGCAACTCTCTCGTTGGGTCAATTGACGCCTCTCTCTGGGCATCGAACACCGCGCCACGGGCATTTCGTAGGCTTGCAGCATACCTACATCGTTTTCAATTGGTCAGATCTCCGGCATTTCGCAGCTCCAGTGCAACCCGACCGGCGCGGACTTCAAGGGGGATCCTGATCTGTCCGTCCCGCAGCAGCGAGCCTTTATCAAACGTATCATCAGCCAGCAAACAAGTTACGCGCTGGCTAAACCCGGCAATCATCAATCAAATCCTCATTAGACCTTGGATTTCGACTCTTTAGCGTTTTTGTAACGACACAGACCGAACGCTCGAACCGGTGCCAACAATTCTTTCAGGGCGGCATTTGGGCCTTCATTTATACCCAGCCAACATGGACAAGATCACCGAGAAAATAGCGGCACTGCCGGCCGATGGGGAGTATTTCTCCCTCGAGTTTTTCCCTCCCAAGACGGCCATGGGATTCTCCAATCTGCGTGTTCGTCTTCAGCGAATGGAGAGGGCTCTGCGACCTCTCTTCGTCAACGTCACCTGGGGGGCTGGCGGCTCGACGTCGCAAAAGTCGCTTGAGTTGGCCGAGCTGTGCCAGCGCGAGATCGGCCTCACCACATGTCTCCATCTCACATGCACCAACATGAGCCAGGCCCTGATTGACCAGGCGCTGGAAGACGCCAGAGCCCTAGGAATCCGCAACATTCTCGCCTTGCGAGGAGACCCGCCCCGCGCCGAGTATCGAGACGCCGACGAGCCGGAACAGGCTGCTTCCGAGGAGTTCACATGGGCAATTGACCTTGTCAAGTATATTCGCAAGAAATACGGCAGCTACTTTTGCATTGGTGTTGCTGCGTATCCTGAGGGCCACGGCGACGGAAGCCACCCTGAAGGCCAAAGCTTCGAACACGATCTCCCGTACCTCGTCGAGAAAGTCCAGGCCGGAGCGGACTTCATAATGACCCAGCTATTCTTTGACATTGAGGCCTACGAAAAGTTTGAAACCACTCTGAGAAATCACCCCAGTGGCGCCTTCAAAACGATACCCATCTTGCCGGGCCTAATGCCCATTCAAAGCTATGCAATGATCAAACGCACGGCAAAGCTGAGCCACGCCAAGATACCGGATGAAACTATGGCCCGCCTCAACGCTGTTAAGGGAGACGATGAGAAGGTCAAAATGGTCGGAGTTGATATCGTTAGCGAGTTGATTGGCCAGGTTAGAGAAATCAAAAGCAGGACCCCAGGCCCCAAAGGCTTCCATTTCTACACGCTCAACCTCGAAAAGTCAATTTCCTTCATCCTTGAGAGAACCAAACTGATTCCCGATGTCCCCGAGGACGAGGAAGCCGTCGTTGATGAGCCTGTGGCAGCAGCGGCGGCGCAGTTGACGATACCAAAGATCAGCGTCAATGGCAATGTACCACCTCGCTCGTCCAGTCACGCACGCACAGGCAGAAGACAGTCTTCTGTCGGTTCAGACCCGCATAATCGTGTCATTGTTGCCAGGGTCGCCACGCACCCGGAGTGGGAAGCAACCAGCACAGAGGCTGGCATTCCCGCGGAAAGTGTCAACACCCGTGCAAACACATTGGCCATTTCTGAAGGCGAGGGCGCTCTTGGTCGTGAGGCGACGTGGGACGACTTCCCCAACGGTCGATTTGGTGATGCCCGCTCGCCCGCCTACGGAGAAATCGACGGCTACGGCGTGAGCATTCACATGTCCGTCACGCAGGCCGTTAGACTTTGGGGACATCCCAAGGTAGCCAGTGACATCAATGACATCTTTGTGAGACACATTAGAGGAGAGATTTCGGCCATCCCTTGGAGCGAAGAAGACCTTCTTCCCGAGTCTTCCATCATCAAGTCCAAACTTGAGGCCATGAACAGAAAAGGCTGGTGGACTGTTGCTTCTCAACCCGCTGTCAACGGCTTGCCGTCGACGGATTCCACGTTTGGATGGGGCCCGGCTTCCGGATTCGTGTTCCAGAAGTCATTCGTCGAGTTCTTCCTCCCATCTGCAGACTGGAAGATTCTCTACGATAAACTCACATCTGCCGAAGTTGAGGAAGTGGTGTGCTTCTATGCCAGCAACGCTAAAGGCGACTTCGTCTCGTCCGACGCCAGCGGCGGCTCCGGCCGAGCCGTCATGAGCGCGAGTACGAATGCCGTGACCTGGGGAGTGTTCCCCGGTAAGGAGATTGTTACACCAACCATCATCGAAGAGGTCAGCTTCCGCGCCTGGAGCGAGGAGGCGTTTGATATTTGGGCTGAGTGGGCAAAGGTGTATGGACGTGGATCAGACAGCCAGAAATTGTTGGACAGGATCAAAGAGGACCGCTGGCTTGTGAATATCATCCACCACGACTACGTGGATACGGAAGCTTTGTGGAGGTTGTTGATCGAATGAGACGTATTCACGGCTTCTTGAAGATGTTTTGGAGTGAGGTAATGGATACAGGCGCTGACAATTGTTAAGACAAAGATCAAAATACCATGAAAAGCATCATTCTTGTAAGAGAGAGAGAGTGATGGGGGCTTATCAATCAACTTGTTCATCGGAGATGTAAGAGACGAGAGCTTATAATCTCTTCCATGCTTCGGACTCAACTTTGGCAAACAAGGAAAAACGAAACGAGACGGGAAAAAGAAACAAACCTTTAGATAAATCATGCGAGTCACGCAGAGTTCCGAGTCAACAGGCAAGACTGCTCTCAACTCGAAGCTTGCACTGTTCTTTCTATATTCACTTTACGATTCACCGAGCCTCATGTAAAAGCATCATGTTTTACCATTCGACACCTTGGTCCTAGTTTACTGTGTGTGAAGATCAAGCCACCGAGGTTTTCTTTTCCATCATTCCCCTCGTCGTCTTTGCTTCTCATGCTTCGAAGCCAGAGGGCACTATAATAAATGAAAAAAAGAAGAACGAAAGAACGAAAAGAACTATAACTCAAATGAACCGGTCTCCCCCCAAATCGTTGTTTAAGAAAAGAGGGAGACGAAATGACGGATTTGAGATTTGGATAAAAAGCAAAGTTGTTAAAAACAAAAGGAGGTAGATGTTGCCCGTATGAAAATCGTATAAGCAAAGAGAAGGGCAAAATAAACTACCAGACATGAAAAATAAGAGAAATACGCAAATCTCCTAGGGAAGAAAACGAGTCAAAAGCAAAGTTCCTTTTCTCCGTCAACGCCGTGCATGCGCAAACTGTGGTCGCAATACCTGTCCTTCATAATAGGTAACCACCAGATCCGGTTTTCAAATACCAATCATCTCATCCATCCGTGGGGGGTTTTTTTTTTTGGTTTCTCTCCCCTTTTCTGTTAGAGGGAGAACCTTCCGCTTGCGATTCCGAACGGTGGAAACTGTTGAGGTGGAAAGTAGAGAGAGAGAGAGAGCGTTTCCCCGTCCTTGTTTCTTCTCTAAATCTCACCGTCGCCTAGCAGGTCATCGGCGTCACCAATCTGAAACGACTGCGCGCCATAATGAGCCGAAGGCGGGTAGCTGACTGCAGGAGGTCCAGTGTTCATGCCAATGATCGGCCTGCCGCTGAACGGGCCCTGGACAGGCTGAACAGGCATGCCGACAGGGGAGAAGACAGAGGCAAAGTGGCCAACTGGGACATCAGTCTCGGGCTGGGAATCGCTAGCATCGAGCAGCGCAGAAGCTTCAGCGATCGTAGCGGAGGCCTTGGCTGCAGCTCTGCGACCTGGAGTCCCGTTTCTCTGGCCCGGGAAGGCTCCTTTGGCCTTGGGCTTCTTGGTAGGCGTGTCCTCGTGCTCGCTCCAGTTGTCAATGTCGGCAATGTCGTCCTCGTCCTCATCTGACGAAGCTCGCTTGATAACGTCTGGCTGCTTGCGAGTGCGCTTGCGTCCAGTGCCGGTGCCGGTTCGGCTTCCAGTTCCGCGAGCGGCGGCGGGCTTGGATGGCGTGGAAACGAGACTGCCGCCGCCAGAGCCAAGGTTGAGGCAGTTGGCGACATCGCCGCCCTCACTTTCGACCTTTCGGAGGGTGTCGGCGTCCTTTTTGAATCCACGGAACTGGAATTGAATACCGTCGGGGGTAGACTGGCCAAAGTATTTGGCGATATCTGTAGAGATAATGGTTAGCTGTGTTCTGCTAAGTCGACGAACAGATTGATGCTTTCTGACTCAAAGCAACACAGAAATGTTGGAAATTGAAAGCAAAAGAGTGGCATTGTGAAAGGGGAGTGGTGAGTGTGGGAGATCACACTCTTTGAAATCAAGAATCAAGCGCCAGGGACCAAAGCATACTCTTCTTCTCCACGGCTTCCTGAGTGACAGGAAGATCTCCGTCCGGGCAGATATTCTTGGGGTCGAATCCCTGGTTGCGCCCTTCACGAATGATGACCGACTGTGCTCTGAGACGGCGGAATCGATGATTCAGAGCGTGCTCAGTCATGTCGGATCCATAGCAAGCAGCAATTTCTGGGACGAAGTGTCAACCTTCGCCCCAATAAAAATAACGATAAGAGGAAAGGAGGCAGATGAAGCAGAAAGAGAACCCATATTCAGGACTTTTTTCAATCATGAATTGGGAAAGGAGGTAGAAGCCAACAGTACTGGTGATGGATGAGAGAAAACATTTGCTTACCTTTGTAGTTCCACTTAACCTCGGGGTGAGCCGCCACGATGGCGCGTACCATACGGGCCTGGGCCTCGTAGGTTTTGTAATTCGCCTTGGAACTGGCGGCAGGCATCTTGGTCTTGTTATGTTCTGATGGAGAGGTCAATTGTTAGCAGCGAGCAGAGGCGATGGCGAGGTCGAGTGACAAACGGTCAGGCTGGTTGAGACTGGAGATGGAAATCGCCAAACGACTTGGATGAAATGAAGATTGAACTGCGCAAAGCAATGATGCTTGATGATGTTGAGAATAGGCAAAGGTGAAATGAAAAGATGACAGTGACACGCTAGGGTCTCTGCATCAAGAGAATCCTGCGGGCGGATGCGTGAAGGAGGAGAGGAGTTGAGAGGCAGCAGGGCCGAAGAGCTGCTTAATTATGCAGATGGGCAGTGAAGCAGCTTGGTCACCTGACTTGTGCCAGAAGCTGAAGATGAAGTGACGAGAGGGCGAAGGCTCAAGTGAATGAGAGGTGAATCTGGTTGAGGGAGAGAGAAGGTTGGCAGCTGACTGACGGCTGTCAAGCCAAAGGTGCGGAGATGATGATTTCAGGGCGAGAAATTCGACAAAGTTGACAAGGCAGTTATCGAATGGACAGCGGTGGAACTAACATGCAATAAAAGAAAGGAAAGGAAACGGGAATGATGGTTGATGTTTAGAACCGGGCTTGAAGGGCGCGGGTGGTTGAGGTGAAGATGCTGTACTTGAGACGCGGTGTCAAAGGAGAAAGCAGATTACTTACCGAGAAGCAAGATTCTACTCAACTACCTAGTGGGCATTTACCCGTTTGGCTTAGAGAGTCGTTGAGGGATTAAATTAGGAATTGAACAACTCTCAAGAGGAAAGAGGATTTAATGGATGAATATGTATGGGTATAAAGACTGAAGACGATAGTTAGTGGCTGGCTATGAGAGATCAACACGGGGGTGTATAGCGACAGCTACATACCTGGTATACTTGGAAAGCATACAAAAGCGCAGCGATAAGGGTTCTGTATACGAATTCCAATATTGACAGGGATAAAGCAGCCGTCTGTGAATTGTCTATTGCATGACAATTATCCTAGAGATTCCTATACGGGCATCAGTTAGCTTCTTCCTGGGCCGGCACGCAATACATATTTTACAATCGTTTCGGGAATGAACCGCAATATGAGATACTAACCAGATAAGAGGCGGAGGCAAAAAGAGAGAAAAGAAAATGACGAGAAACGAGTGAATGGCGGTTGTAAAGCTGCAGCTCAAGCTTCACCGGAGATGACTTGGGCAGTACTTTCGCGTTCTCTCTACGCGAACCGCGATTGGGCCCTAGCCGCAACGGTGCCAAATGAGGAAAAAAAAAGATACAAGTACAAAGCGATGACAGGCTATCAATCTCTTCTTCCTTGGTGTATACGAGCGTTTCGACACTACCAAGGGAACAATTGATGTACTTTGCATGTACTCCGTATATGTTGTATGCGACAGGTTTCTCACCGACGAGAAAGTCGGGGGGCTGGGCGTCTGTCCTGAGAATTTGGTGCAGAATGCCTAAGGAGTGACTTGAGCGCTGAAATCGCATTGAGCAGAAGTTGCTTTAAAAACACAATTGGATGCTGAATATAATACAGAGAAAGAATATCATGCATTTTACTGGCAATTTGATGTCTACTTTTAATGTTGTTTTGATTTTGTGAGCTGTGGCTTTGCATTCCCTTTCCATCATGAGGTATCGCGATATCTCAGCTTAACGCTTTCAAAGTGTAGAGCAGCAACCCAAGATTGCCGAACCAGTTACCACGACAAAATTGCAATGGGCGAAAATATTCTAATCATAAGTCTATATAGAAGCAATACAAGTGCGTTCACACCCGGCCGACACCAGTACCGGCCAAGGGATTCATTAACATTAGTCTATTATATCCAAGTTCAACACTACAGCGCTCATTTCCAACTCATTTCTTGAGACGGAATTTCTTGCAGCGCATGTCCCTTGAGGATAGCCCCTTTGCCATCTCCGTAGAAAAAGTACTGGATTCCGAGGAAGCAGTCGCAGCAAGCCTGGAAGATGCCACACACCTTGAATGCCACCGGGATCTCGGTCGTGGCCGTAAAGAACCAGTAAATCTTCATGGCGTCACCCCCGATCCAGCTAGCAAGCACGGACACTCGGAAGCCCTTGCAAGACTTGGACTGCGCATTGGCGATGATCTGCGGGATCGGAAGAATGGCTTCGACGGAGAGGCCGATGATTCCGACGAGCTCGGAATATGTGGGATAGTAGCCAGGTGTCATGCCGGACACGACCACCTCACCAGCGAGCAAGCCCATGAACAGGTAGACGATGAATTGCCAATATCTACTCATGGTGTTAGCCTTTCCCATACTTCCCAAGCGCCAGTTTCCTCTTTGGTGAGACTCAACGGTTTCGGCGATCTCCATTGCCAAAAGTTGTACGGTCTTTGAGCAAAAACACCCTCTGGCGGAGCAAAAGGCAAGCCGGCCTCGCCGCCCTTGTTTGAAGGTGCAGGTCGGTGATCCAGAGCAATCTTGAGGAGCGCTACTTGCATTCCAACCATAATCAGGGACTGTATCAACAAGCTCGCATCGAATCGCGCGCCGGGCCAGTAAAAGATCCTATTCTCCCGCTCCGTGTTAGCCGTTGCGCCGGATTTGCCGGACGGTAGAGCCTCGAACCGGCTCATGCAAAAAAGACGCACCTGAACAGCGATGCGACGAGCATAATCAGGGGAATATCGAGAGAGAAGCCCGCGCTGGTCTTCTTGCGATGCATCGACACGGCCTGGTCGCCATAGGAGATGATAGGGGAGAGGATAAGGAAGAGCGGCGCGATATAGCCCGTCAGAGTCGCGAGCCAACTCATCATGGCGGAATTTCGGGGTCGTAGGTTGCGAGCAATTGAGGTCTTTCGGAACAGATGGATATATCCAAGAAGTCGTAGCAGCAGCAGGATTAAAACGAAGGACACGCCGCGCTTCTCTGCCTTGCGGAGAAGAAGAGGGAAATACGGAACTGAATAGGTAGGTCAATTAAAAATATTACCCGGCAGACCAAGCGCGCCGAAAGGTCAAGAGAAAAGAGAGGCGATCCGGGGGGGATGAAAAGCAAAAGCGGTAAAAGACGAAAGCGAAGTTTAAAATTGCTGGTGAGATGGATTCGGAGCAACAGGGGAACAAAAGTGCAGAATGACCGCATCGATCGGCGTTAGGGCGGTACCTGGGCTTGGCGCGGCGCTTGGCGAGCTGCGCAGGTACAGCCCTACTGTCTTTAATTAGCATCGTCAAAGTTCTGGAGTCGGCCCTGATTCGCTAGCCTTGTATAAACTCTTAGTCTAGGCAAACCTAGAGTAAATAAGGCTTCATCCAACGCATGTTCTTTTGTCTGCTAGTACCTGATGAATGAATAAGGTATCATCAGCATGTGCATAATAAAGGGAACCATTATTCAGTACCCCAGACTTGCCTACCCAGCATCCCTCGTATCAAATTTAAAGCTTATGATAGTAGTAGATACCAGAGGCATACAAGGTACTTGTATGACTACGGAAGCAGATGCTAGAAGATGATGACAATAATAGCAGATACCAGAAGCCATTCAACCTGGTACCTAGAATTTGGCCTAGAGAGATACCAATTGGGCCATTTGCTGGCTTACAACCTTGAGGTTACAATCCAGGTACGTACCCTGGAAAATGCAGTACTGGAATGTCTCACAGTCACGAGACACCACCTTCCTGTATTGACCCCATGTCAGTGCGTGAGAGCTTCTAACCTTTCCCCCCCTTTTTCTACTATCTTCTCTTTCCCTCTCTCTCTCCTTTTCCCATCCCAGCAAACACCAGGGTCTTCCATCCGGTTAAACTGGTCAATGGCACACGAGTGTTATTGATCTGATTGCTAAACCAACTTCAGCCGCCATGACGTTTAACGAGTGTCCGGGCATCATCTCCCCACTTTCCAAGGGCAAGGAGAAAATACAACCATCAATGCTTCTAACAGCGCTGCAGCGGATGAGTTTCCTCCCATGGCTCACTAGAGATACATGCCAGTACCCCTCACGATAAGGGTCGGTACTGTACATGTTGTCTTCCTCTCCTTGTTACCATCAGCAGCCTCGTGGATATCCAGTCTTTGCTGCTGTGGCGCAAATACCTTGATATTCAACAAAGAGTTCCAGCACACCCAACAAGATTATGAGATAGACATGGTAAGCGAGACCATTCCCGCATCTATCTGGCAATGTTTGCATGCTGATTTGGTAGTACATAGCATACAGTCCCCACGGGCTCCAGCAGACAGCGATTAGCCGAGAACTCAATTCGCCTCACTTGGTCGCAGATCTCGGACCCAACAGCTATGCTCAAACTCTCAAATGAGTTGAGAAGGTCAATTCTGCTCGACTGGAATTCCTCGCTGTGGTTGGTCGCACAGCTGTATCGGCAAGATCAGGCCCCGGTATCTACAAGTATGCTTTCATCTCGTCAATACTAAGACGGGCATGAGATGGCTGGCCACTCGCTCCTCATTTGCTGCCCAAAAGTATGCCACTATTACCAATCGTCTGAATCAAAAAGTTTTCAAGCTATTCGAGTTAACCATGTCACCAATGAGACTCGGTAGTGGAACCGGGAACAGATGCCTATACTTATAACTTAATGACGACGACGAGGTCCTTGCTTAATTGCGTATCCACCGGATCGTGAACTCGAAACGATGATTCCCAGGCGAATGTGAAACCCTCGGCAAGATAGGTGCTATACTCGATCTTCAGCATCAAGACAAGGCAACATCCACTTCCTTTTCCATACGCCGCACATTATCCCAATGATTTCAACAGCGTGGCTTGCAATAACAGAAGTATCTTCCTTGGAATGAAAATGATTCGATCCTCATATCCCCCTACAAGATGTCTCCAGAACGCCTGTCATATCCGCAATGTGGCTTGAAATCGACCGTCTCCCACCGATATCTTGTCAAGTCGAGCACCACTTTGGTGACTGGATGGCATGATGCATTGCCTTTTAGTTGCCTCGCCAGCGTCAGAACCAACCTCCAACTCTCACGGGCTTCAGTAGTGACA